CCATGGCACTCTGCCCAGGGGGACAGCTTGAGGCTCTGTCTCAAAAAAAATAAAAAATAAAAAAAAATAAAAAATAAAGAGACAGCACCTACAAAGTCAAATTGGTCTAGCCCCTGTCCTAGCCAGGTCACCCTGCTATGAGATAGGCCCACTGCAGAGCTCAGGCTGCAGCTGCTTGTGATGAAATCCTGCATGTTGGTTCTGGTCTTTGTATCCATTTCAAAACAAAAGGAACATTACAGGAACAATTATAAATAATTGAGATTATAAAATTGCCAAGATTAAATTCTAGGTATGATACAAAGTAGCTTTTAATGCCACTTTAGTTCTTTCTCATTTGGCAAACAACTTCTTCACTGGACACCTAGACTTTGTCCAGCACGTAGCCCAAGCTTTTTGTGTTTTTGCTGCCCAAGTCATAGGAAAGAGCCACTAGATCAGTGTTTTTTTAACCTTTTTTATCTCATGACCCTCTTGAACCTGTAGTTAAACTTCTGTGGCACACTTAAATTATGTTGCTCAAGAAAAAGAGTAAGAAAAAGAATATACTTACTGTGCTTTGAACTTCTTTCAAAAATAATTTAATTAATGATCTATAAAAATTTTCATGGCATACCTAAGATCCTTTCCTAGCACACAGGTTAAAAATCACTGCTCTAGATTAAGAGACAGCCAGTATTTTGAGCATTCCAACCTTCTCACAGTTTCTGTGGTTAGGGTGATTTTCTTCCCCAGTTTCTCTGAGCTAGTTATTAGGGTTTTCTTAACGTCAAGCCTCTACCCTCCATGGCAGCCCCTCATTTTCCTGTATGTTAGCCCATACAGCTACTCCCCCAGGCCTCGCCACTTCCTCATTGATGTTATAGTGCCAGCCATTGACATGCAGCTAAGATAACTGGGAATTTAGTCCATCTTACACTATAATTAATAATAATTACTGTGGGCACTGTCAGTCACCTCTGCAACTCCAGGTCACTCTGTGGTACATGGTATGTTCTCTAGATCTGCTTGGTGCCAGGATGACACGATCTTTTCCAGCTCGTGTATTACAAATTTGCCTTCTTTGTTGATTAACTACATCTGCTAATTCTCCATTTTTCCTTCATCATGGTAAAGTATTTATGTCAATTTGCAGTAGCATGGGCTAAGAAGAATCCTTTCTTTATGAGATTTTCACTTTTCCTCTAAATTTAGTTACTAGTCATACTATGCGCCTATTCTTACTATTGGTAAGACTGCTATCCCACTTTAAAGTATAGCCAAATAAGACTTAATTGACTTTTATACAATATTTATGGTAAAAATAAATTATAGAATTCCTATTCCAGCATTTGATACTTCAAAGCCATTGTAATTGTTTCTTTAAAATTTGTTTTTATTGGCGCCTGTGGCTCAGTGAGTAGGACGCCGGCCCCGTACACCGAGGGTGGCGGGTTCCAGCCTGGCCCCAGCCAAACAGCAACAAAAAAAAAATAGCCAGGGGTAGTGCCTATAGCTCAAAGGAGTAGGACACCAGCCCCATATACCAGAGGTGGCAGGTTCAAACCTGACCCCGGCCAAAAACTGAAAAAAAAAAAAAAAAAAATAGTCGGGCATTGTGGCAGGCACCTGTAGTCCCAGCTACTCAGGTGGCTGAGGCAGGAGAATCACCTAAGCACAAGAGCTGGAGGTTGCTGTAAGCTGTGACACCACACCACGGCACTCTACCGAGGGTGACAAAGTAAGACTCTGTCTCTACAAAAAAAAATAAAATTATTTTTATTGTGTAAAATTTCAAATGTATATGGACATACAGAGAATAGTATAGTAAGCCCATATATCCTATCATTTAGCTTCAACAATTATCAACACATGGCCAATCTTGTTTCCTCTGTGCCCAACTTGGCTCTCTAGCACCCCCTCTGCACTGCAACCTTGATAATGTTGAAGGCAAAACCCAGATATTATATTGTTTCATTCATAGTATACCTAGATTTTTTGTTTTGTTTTGTTTTGTTTTTTGAGACAGAGCCTCAAGCTGCCGCCCTGGGTAGAGTGCTATGGCATCACACCTCACAACAACCTCCAACCCCTGGGTTCAAGCGAGTCTCCTGTCTCAGCCTCCCAAGTAGCTGGGACTACAGGCACCCACCACAACGCCTGGCTGTTTTTTGGTTGTAGCCGTCATTGTTGTTTGGCGGTCCCGGGCTGGATTCGAACCCGCCAATTCAGGTGTATGTGGATGGCACCTTAGCCGCTTGAGCCACAGCCGCCGAGCCAGTATACCTAGATTTTGATGATTTAAGAATGATGTCTTTGCATGATGTACAGTACTTAATCTGTAGTCAAATTTAGTCCCATTGGAAAAAAAAAATTTAGTCCCATCAGTCTCTTGTAACTGATCACTTGTTAGTTTAGTGAGTAACTTCCCAGGCTTTTTTTCTTCTATGTAAGCATGTAAATGTAAATACAGATATAGTTACGTGTGTTCATACTTAATAAAAAGGAAGGGTAATGCAAAACTGCCATTTTCACTTATAAATAAATCATAGAAATCTTTCTCTGACAAAACAGAGACCTAGGCTCAGCGCCTGTGGCTCAAGTGGCTAAGGCGCCAGCCATGTACACCCAAGGTGGCGGGTTTGAATCCAGCCCGGGCCCGCCAAACAACAATGATAGCTGCAACCAAAAAATGGCCAGGCGTTGTGGCGGGCGCCTGTGGTCCCAGCTACTTGGGAGGCAGAGGCAGGAGACTCGCTTGAGCCCAGGAGT